TGTTTTGTTTTTACCCATAGTTTGATATTTTACAGTTAGATTTGAAATTGTCTTGAAAATAATTGCTTTGCGACAGTTTTAGTGGCTTTATGTGTGATCTGCAGCAAACAGTACAGCAGTTTGACCCCTGAAACAGTGCATCTGTGTGCGGGAGTGAAAGTAAAAATTTACCCCAAAAAATTACACACCAACAAAATAAAACACCACGTGAAAAATAAAAGAGGAGCAGCAATACAAATCGTATGTAACTGTAACGTATTCAACAAATAAACGTGGTGACAACAAGTGAGAAAGAGACGAAGTGAAGCTAAGTGAACTTTCTTTCAAAAGTAAAGAGGTTCAGTTTCTTTTTTTTTTTTATTTAACTTTTATTCCCCGATTCGGGGACCAAAAAATCGAGCCACGGTTGATTGGTCGCGGCCGCGACAAACGCAGATGCTAGTTCTATGTGCTGTTATCAATAACCCTCCATAGATCTAGATCTAGACAGTACCCGAGTGAGCACAACACATTAAGTTTAAGAGCAGCACCCTTCATAGGCAACACGTCATATCTGTAGAGAAAAACTGTTTGGAACTGTAACATTTCTTTATATACATATTTACTGCGGAAATTTTTTGGACCGATTGAACCATAATATTGTATACGAACAATCTTTGGTAGGCCATTATATAAATATAAATCTATATAGATCTAGATTCTCTCCGAAATTTGCGGGAACGGATGTGATTTCAGAGTGTTCAGAGAAATAGAGCCCAGCTTTATTTTCCCGAACGTTCGAAGAAATAGTGCCCAGCCTTATTTTCCTGAACATTCAGAGAAATACTGCCGACCTTAAATTTATGTGTGGGTTTTTTAGATTATTATTGTTGTGGGGGGGGGGGGAGTCCCCCTGAAACCCCCCACTGTTGTTATGGCATGGCTAGTGCGCATTAATAATGTAAACACTTGAATGGGTCCACCAAAGTAAATCTGGCCAGGTTTTGCATCTCTTGTGTCCGACCGTGTCGATGCAGAAAATAACAGCGTATCGTATTTTATTTTGTGTCGTACTAGATCTAGATTCTAGATCTACACTTGGTGTTCTTTCAGGTCTTTACTACCACTCTTCAACTACCACTCTTCAACTACCACTCTTCAACTACCACTCTTCAACTACCACTCTTCAACTACCACTCTTCAACTATCGTCTCATGTTCGGGAATTTGTAAAGCCCTGTTACTTTTTCATTTTAAAAAAATCCGTTTTGGTAAAGGAATAAGTGGCTAGCCGTACTAAATTAACTTAGATCTAGGTTAGGCCCTATTGATCGAAACCTGTTGTGTACACAGGTCTCATTAGATCAAGAGATCTAGTATTACTGAATTATTCAGGTTTGAAATACCTGCATGTCAGTAATGCACCTTTTGGTTTCGTCTCAAATACGCTTTGGGTATTGCAAACTAAAATTTTATAATTACAATTCAGCCATTATTATTAAGTCTAAGTAGGCCCTACGGCTAGCCTGCCAGTCTAGCCGTACTTATTTTAGGCCCTATTAGAAACCTGTTGAGTACACAGAACTCATTTGTAATTATTCAGGTTTGAAATACATGCACTGTCGACAAGGCACCTTTTGGTCTCGTCTCAAATACAAATACTTGAGGACATTGCAAACTAAAAATTAATTTATGATTCAGTAGGCCTATTTCTTCTGTTTGTCAGTCTAGCCGTCATTATTAAGTACGGCGATCGTGCCAGTCTAGCCGTCATTATTAAGTACGGCGATCGTG